GAGCGCAACGCTCGACCTGGTTGATACGACACTAACGTGTCTTGGAGATAAGAAGGAGCCAAGCCATTTATGGCTTTATATGTTAAGAGTAGGATTTTAAACTTTATTCTGTACTCCACAGGGAGCCAGTGGAGTGATTTTAACACCGGAGTTATGTGCTCCCTCCTTTTGGTACCTGTTAAGATCCTAGCTGCTGTATTCTGAACGAGCTGGAAGCTCTTCAAAGAGGCTTTAGGGCACGCTGCCAGTAAAGCGTTACAGTAGTCGAGCCTTGAGGTGACAAACGCGTGAATGAGTTTTTCCGCGTCACTTTTAGGAAGGAAATTCCTAATTTTAGCGATGTTCCGTAAGTGGAAGTACGCCGTTTTAGTTGCTTGGCTTATATAAGCCTTGAAGCGGCCTTGTGCAGGGGCATTTATAGAGGAAGGTGGCTGGTGATTGGAGCAAATTATTTTGATCTCTCTGGCGTTGACCTGGGGGTCACGAGTGATATCCCACTAGCGAAGTCCTAAGGGACGTAGCACCATGACGTAGAAGCAAACAGCGCCGTGCAGTGGCGTAATATGGTGCTACAACCTGACTGACCGTTACAACGAGCAGACTCAGCCGATGCGCTAAATGACTTGAGTGACATTTTGCAATTGAGAAGGTGCTATGTCCCAAAGCAGCCATAATTGAGCGGGCGACTTCAAACAAATGTAGCTTAATATCAGTGCTCCCTAACTCTTCACCTGATGTGTCTGTGCCTTCGAGGGGTGCTCTTCTTTCTGGATCTATTCTCACTATGAGGAATGAGGAGTTGACGTCACGGCCACAGAGTCCCCCCTCCCAATCCCCCCTTTGCCGACATATTGGCTGCGCACCGGTGGCGGCAGTACAGTTTGTTTACGTGTGTTGTGAAAGCGGTGTAGTAGCGGATGGGTTCTTGCTATTCCGCATGTTTTATCATGCCTGGAAATTTACTGCTGCGTTTATAATCTGAATCCTAATACCTCCACGATGGGATATGGAAAACCTCAAGAAATAGGAAAAACCTATTCTGCACAACAAGGGCAAAACCATGGCGTGTCACCAGAGGGTTTATTAACAAGCCCCACACAACTGAAGTGAAACCACTGGACTGGGCAGTTCTGGTTGTCACAGGCCACCATGTCACCCTCCTCTGGTCCAGAACAGAGACACCACACATCCTTGGCTTTTTTGGCTGGCTGCCTTCGCGGCCTCTTCCCACCTACTTGTTGTGGCTGTGGCTGCTGTAGTTCACGTAGCACACTGTGACCAGGTGATGGTTGACAGGTGGGGATAGTGTAGTATTGCACCGCAAGTTCAGGGAGAGCCACCATCACAAAGAAGTCCTGTGCCTTCTGGAGTCGTGCCTTCCAAAAAGCACGGTCTGGAGCTATGCGCAGAGTCACTGTGTCCATCAAGGTCCACACAACAAAGTCGCAGTAGGACCTCTCTGTCACAAACAGTTGTGTCTGGACTTGGGTGTAATACGGGTGACTCTTTTTAAGGTGCACCTGACCATCAACAACATGCAAGCAGAAGTTGCGGTCATCCGAGGAGCAGGCTTGGAGGATAGTGCAGTTCTTGTATTTAGCTGGGCATTTTACCTCCAAGCAGCCTTTCCCACAACAGATGCAGCTCACGATGGCATCTGGTGAGGCTCCTACCTGTGGGAAGGCCGGGTTGACAAAAAAGCCACAGGTTAGCACTTGGTGATTGGTGTGCAGGGGGGCAGTTTGGACACTGTATGCCTGCCTCGCCGTGTCCTCTTGTCTAATTCCCCAACTGGTGGCAGCTGTTCCTGGCCCACGAGCTGGATAACACACCCTCCTAACGATGGACAGTGCTGGAGAACTGAGGTCTGTTCCATACACGCTATGCATCGAGGAGGCCGTGACTCTCCCTGCCCGTGCAGCAAACCAAAGGGATGACGTGTGCTGTCCCCTTGTCCGTCTCTCCATCTGCACTGCCTGTTCCTCAGACACATCAGCTACAGTCTTTATGTTCTGACAGTGCCGTTGCAGCGCAGGTAGGTCACCCCGATTAAGGCCAGTTCCATTTACCAGAGACTGTAGGCTCCGAATGGGAAGAACAGGATCCTTGAACTGCTCACAGTAGTCAGGGAGCACTGTCAAAATGGCAGATCCTGTGCCTGTCATGCTGATTTGCCGGTAGAAAATTGCCAGCTTGTCTTGTGTCGGTGATGGTGGTGGTGCTGTTTTGGCCATTTGTGTTCTCTGCACTGGACTATTGTCGGTGTCACCATCAATTTGTCTGTCCAGAGATCTGCGTGTGGCTGCTGCAGATATGAAGTTGACCTGGTGACCAACCTCAGGTTGCACCTTGTTGATGCTGCTTGGGAGCTTCCAGTACGCCGGCTCATCTGTGACCGTGGCCTTCTCCTTTAGCCGGACACAGGCATCGACCATGAAGAGCAGGGCTCCAACGTGGGTGCACGACTCTGCTACACCGGCCATACAGGTGCAGTGGGCCGAACACACTTGCCCCGATGGTGTTAAGATTATCCATGGAGTAAGAGGAGGCTCACTAAGGCGCCGTGAATGCAGGACCTGTTAAATACACAAAGGTTAAGAAATTAGGGAAACAGTAAAAAGCATTCAACACAGAGACTGCCCATTATTATTTAAACTAACAGTCTGCACTCTACATTACCATCTCATACACCTTGCATTCACACTGTGAATGGCTTACATCTAACCAGGCCATTTACATTTTGCATTCACATTTACCCTTGCCCACTTTTAAGTAGAACTGGTTTGTCCACTTTGCAGCCCCAAACAAACGCAAATTACAACTAAATACCTCAACAAACACAGCCTAAGCCTACCTCATTAATTAGTTTGTCATTTTGGTCAAGAAGTGTCTGCTAAATGCAATGTAATTACAACACACTAAACGGCATATGTGAAGAAACTTACTTTTGCCAGTACAACGCTGTTGTCACCAGCTGGAGGCTTGTAGATGACCAAGTCCTGCACCCAGCCACAGCAGAAAGTCTCGTAACTTTCCAAAGACTTGTGGCTTTTAAACTCCTGCATCGTGTAGTAACTTACACCAAATACAAGGTAGTTTACTATGTCCATGTATGTGCACGGAGGTAAATGGTCCAGGTTTCTGTGCCATTCCGCTGCAGGGAGCTCGTATGGGTCGATGTTTTTGATGTCCGCAAGCTTCTCCAAATACCTCTGTTTTGCGCTTGGTATGAGCTTGTTCCTGTACGGTCCCTTCTCTTTCGCCTTATCTCTAAGCATTGTTTTACTGTCTTCCTTTCCCTTGTTGTATCAGTAGATCCGTCTCTGTCTCGCCGAAAACGTAAATGCGTATAATTTAAAGTGCTCTGGAATATGAGGAGCGCGTGAAATTCTGGGGGCGTGCCCCCGTTGCGCAGCCAATATGTCCGACAGGCTCAGAGCCCCCCCCAAATCACCCCAACTCGGCACGTGACTCCTCATTCTCAATAGTACTTTCAAATCTAAGAACCTAAATGTTGGTGAAGTGAAAGATATTGTAATCACATTCAAAGACAAACCCACCTGGTGTGGATGGTCTGGACAGCAAATATCTGTAACTGATGAGATATCACCTCTTCTTTGCTCTATCTTAAACATCAGTGTGTCCTAGCCTGGTCGTACCACACCATAGTACAAATTACATTTTGTACTAAGGTCTGGATGTGCTCCATTGAGCTCCGTGAACAGATGGGAGGGGTAAACTCCTTTTGCAGATTGAAACGATTGGATCTGAGTTTACTGAGTATGTAATGCGCCTGAGTGAGTCTGTAGCATTTAGCCTAGCCATCTCCTTTGCCGCTAATGAAACCTGTGGGGAGTAGCGCCACAATCTTTGACGGCAATTACATTTGCTGAACATTCCTCTTGCTCCGGCTTCAATTTCTTGATAGAACCAGACCGGAATACTTTGCTATCACATTTTTCGCCATTGCCAAACTACAAACTGCCAATTCGGCGCAAACTCTTGACTCTACATCTAACTATAACACCCGCCCCCGCACTTGCTGATTGGTCGGATGGAATTCAACCGATGTAATTGCAGACACTGGGACCAGACCAAGACGCTATATGCAGGGAAATGATGTTGACCGGAGTGTACGGATGGCTAAGGCCAGGCTAAGTTTGTCCTGCTGCAGATGCCCCACTGAATGAAAAAATAAATAAAACTAAAGCCGCAATCAGTGTCAAACGGCCCTCGCCGCACCACACTGTCAGCTGACCTAGATCCAAGAGTTTTACACCTGATTCATGTTTGGGGCTGATCAAACTTTGTATGAGTAAATGGGGGCAAATTTGAAATAGTCAAATTTCGGGGGGAAAAAAAATCCAATTTTGCCGCTCTGCTGCTTGATCGGATGTCACCATTGACTTTGTATTGAAAGTCGCCACAACGCATGGTCCGGTCTGAACACCACATTATGCTCAAAAGTGAGAATTTATCTAATTTGCACGAAAATGTCCAAAAAAACCTATTTATGCAGTTAATTGAAGATAACTTGAAGGAGGAAGATGGCTGACACAGCTGCTGGTCACAACTCTGCTCCAGTTTTCAAACGCTCTCGCTTGAAACCAGAGATATACAAAACAACTGATGGGAAAACAATTGTTGAAGATGAACTGCTCAATTTCCTTTGTGTAAAAATGAAGATTATGAGCCAGGATGAGATTATTATTCTGGCTGCTAACACATTTGACTCCGAGTGGATTGAGGCCTCCAAGAAGGCCCTCTTTGAGCTCTGCCCTTCTTCGCAAAGGAATGTCACACACAAGGGAGCGCAGAAAGATGCCAACAACATCAAAAGCTGCCTTAAAGTATTAAATGAGTGTGGGGAGAATATTCCCAGATTTGTTTCCTATTATCTGGATGAGCTCCCACCTGTCACGTTTAATAGTCTGGACGTCTCATGTCTATTAACAAAAATGGAGCAGATGGCCGCAGAAGTTGGCGCTTTAAAGCAAATAATGAACTCACAAGTCAGCATTACTAGTGATCTGCGTATTGCTGCGAGCGGGATCTGCAACCGGGTGTGCTCCCTGGAGAGGGAGCGCAATGAGCGGGCCTGGCCCGCTAACGTGGATGTAGCAGCTGTCACGACGCAAGCTATGCCTCTTGTGTCTGCTGTGAAAGAGGTCCTGACCCATGGGGAGAAAAGTGCAGCGGAGACAGCGACTCCGACAGTACCGGCCCCGGAGGTGTATGCAGGGACCGCTGCGGAGAGGAGTTTACGGGGGCAGCAGTCGCCAAAGTGGAGTGAGGTTGTGAAGAGGAGCCGGCGCGCAACAACCGATGAAGCTAATGCAGTACGCACGGGACAGGGGAGGAAGCCACGGGCCACTAAGCCTATCGTTGGCACTGGGACTGTGGGCAGCATCCGAACCATACAGACCAAACTGGTGAGTGTGTTTGCTTCTCGATTTTCACCTGATCTGGAGGATGTAACATTAGCGGAATACTTAAAGAGCAAACTCAACCGGGATGTATCATGCCAAAAGATCACCACGGCGCACAATCGATTCAGTTCATTTAAAATATCTGCGGAGTGTAATGACGTAAATGAGATGTATGACCCTGATCTGTGGCCAGAGGGTGCACTCGTTCGGCGGTACTATGAGCCGCGTCGTGTGGGGTACAACAGGGGTGAGCTAGGCGCAGGTGACCCTGTGGGCAGTGCGCGCAATGGCACCGCTGTGGTACCCTAAAATGCAGCTATGGATTTACGTCTTCTGACTTATAACTGTCGGGGCCTACGGCTTGGAAACAGTGCTGCGGATAAAGCTTGTCGCTTGGTTGTCGATGGACTGTTGCAAAATTGCGACATACTGTGTTTGCAAGAGACTTTTTTATCTCAACAAGACTTGCAAAAGCTGAACTCGTTTAATGAGTATTTTCATGGGGCTGGTGAGTCCACTACTGATTTTAACAGGAGTATTGTCATGGGTAGAATAGCAGGGGGTGTGGCAATACTCTGGAGAAAGTCTCTTGATACATGCGTTAAAGTTATCAGACTTGGAGTTGACTGGTGTATTGGTCTACATTTTACTTGTGATGATAAAGAATTTATAATAGTTAATGTCTACACTCCGTATGAGTGCAAACAAAATGAAGATGTATATTTAGATAAGCTGGCCTTTTTGCATGCGGTTGTTGAAGACAGCCCTGTATCTAGTGTTTACATTGTAGGAGACATGAATGCAGACATTGCAAACATGACTTCCTTATTTGACATTTGCTACAATTCTGTGAGGATCATGACTATATTCTATCTAGCAGATGTTTACTTCCTATAAAGAGCTACACATATATTAGTGAGGCTTGGCATACAACCTCATGGTTGGACCACTGTATAAGTACAGCTGATGCACATGTCTCCCTGGCATCTATGCAAATACTTTACAGTGTTGTTACTGGAGATCATATTCCTATCTCTTTTAATATACACGTTGACCAGTTACCAGGACTGACAACACACAATGGCCCAGTTAAGCAGGGGAGGCTGGACTGGACAGCTTGTACACAGGAAGACCTCCTGTCCTATTTTACTAGATCTGACAAACTTTTAAGCAGTATACATGTTCCACACAATGCTATTAGATGTACTGACACTAATTGTGTTGAAGTGGACCATAAAATGGATATCTGTAGTTTTTATGATAATATTATCAGTGTTTTGTCTAAAAGTAGTGAATGTTTTTATAAAAAAGTTCAACATAATCACAAAAAGCGACCAGGCTGGAATATGTATGTAGCTGGGTATTACGAGGAAGCACGGGAAGCTACAAGAGAATGGACTGTAGCAGGGAGACCGAGACATGGCACTATTTTTGAGAATAAAAAGATTACCAATGCCAGATACAAATATGCTATTCGATTTATCTCAAGAAATGAACAAAGTATGAGGTCAGATTCATTGGCCAGTAAACTTACATCCAGCAATATTATGGATTTTTGGAAAGAGGTGCGAAATCTCAACAGTAGTAAAACATCTCTACCTTGCACTGTAGATGGTATCTCTGGCTCAGAAAACATAGTTGGATGCTGGAGACGACATTATTATAATCTGTTCAATTGTGTCCACAGTGATATGTTTAATGCTGGCACAATTGACCAAAGTGAATATGTACCCATAAGTGCCCATGAGGTGTATCAAGCAATTCAAAAGTTACCGGCTAATAAGTCCTGTGGTGCTGATAACATTTATGCTGAGCACCTGATACATGCCAGCAAAAGACTTTGTCCTCTGCTGGCCATTTGCTTCTCTAGCTGTTTGACACATGGAATTCTCCCAGACTCACTTCTCTCTGTCACGCTTGTCCCAGTCTTAAAGGATAAAGCTGGTAGAATGGGTAGTTTGGACAATTATAGACCAATCGCACTGGCAAGCATATTGTCTAAAGTCTTGGAGAAAATACTGTTATCTCGATTACAAGATTATATCTGCTCCACAGACAACCAGTTTGGCTTTAAATCTAAACATGGTACAGATTTATGCATATTTGCTCTCAAGGAAATAATAAGAAAATATAAAAGTCAAACATCATCTGTTCTTCTGTGTTTTATCGATGCATCTAAAGCATTTGATCGGGTAAATCACTGGAAATTATTCTCAAAGCTGAACGAGAGAGGGGTGCCTCGTTATATTGTGAGAGTTTTAGTATACTGGTATGCCCATCAGGTAATGCAGGTGAGATGGGGTAGATCCATGTCGGATCCATTCTCTGTTAGTAATGGTGTCCGGCAGGGAGGAATTCTCTCTCCTGTTTTATTCTCCCTGTATATGAATGATCTGTCCTTAGAGTTAAGTGCATGTAAAACGGGCTGTATGATTGGGCCAATCCAGGTGAATCATCTGTTGTATGCGGATGACCTTGCTGTATTCAGCCCTAGTAGTGCAGGTCTACAGGACCTTCTCAATGTCTGCTCTAAGTATGGTGTAGAGTATGATGTAAGGTATAATGCAAGCAAAAGTATGATAATGTTATGTAGAACTAAAGATGATGTAAATGTAAACTTTCCCCAATTTAAATTGTGTGGTGTTGAACTAAGTGTATGTTCCAAATATAAATACTTGGGCCATTTTATTTGTGATGATCTGTCTGATGATGAGGACATTCTCAGGCAATGTCGTATGTTGTACGTTCAGGCGAACATGCTGGTGCGCAAGTTTGGTGCCTGTACAGCGCAGGTGAAAAAGACACTTTTTAAAGCATACTGTACGTCATTATACACGGCACATTTATGGACCAAATACAAAAAAGCAACCATCCGCAAACTCAATGTGGCATACAATGACTGTCTGAGGATTTTATTGAAAAAGCCACGATGGGAAAGTGCAAGTACTTTGTTTGTGTCAGCTGGAATAAGGACATTCCAGGCCGCCATGCGATGTTTGATGTACAGTTTTATTTGTCGGCTCAATGAAAGCCAGAATTGTATTGTCATAAGCCTGACAAATGTCAAATTCAGTGCCATGCGGTACCAGTCAGATCTGTGGAGACACTGGTACAGCTGTTTGCTCTGAGAAGTGAGGCTTATTGTTGTGATTACATGTGTTGTTTTGTGTTTTTATGTGATGTGTGTTATGTGTTATGTGTCTTATCCTGGACCCTGAGTCTGTAATAAAGTTTGATGATGATAATGCAAGATAAATGATAAAAACATTAAAATAACTAGTAACTAGCAAGAAATAGATTAAAATTATATCAAATAAAACTCTGGACCTATAACTACAATTGGTTACGAGGTATTTATAGATGAGTATATTGTACTTTAGCAGCAAAAAAATAATGCAGAATAAACAACTAATAATGACAGAAATATCAGATGAATGGATGTGTAGTAATGCAGTGATGATAATAACAGATAAAGTGATGAGTCAATCAATTAATCAATCAATCAAATTGTATTTATATAGCGCTTTTGATACAGAAGATGCAACACAAAGTGCTTTACAGTTTGGTTAAAAACAATCCCGCTGGCCCATGACCCCTCCTCCTGACCACCCAACAGACTAAAACTACATATAAAAAGTCACGCACGAGCAGACGCACGCAACGCACATGCACGCACACATCTGGTCTGTCTATGTCTTAAACACAGTCTTGGTCACGGATCTATAATAGTAACGGTCTTGGCAGGGTTCAGTCTATGGTTCAGATTCAACAAGGTGAAGAAACGCTCTCACAAACAAATAGATGACAGATATCACAGAAATGCAGAAAGTGGTCTGCTTGTCTGTTGGTGCTAGATTTCTCTGCTGTATTTTTATATCATAAAGCACGATTTCCTTGTTAATAAACTAGACGTTTTTGGTCGTACACTTAGGGTTTATGGTGAACAGTTCACCTACATTTATGCGGCATTCAGTTACCACTGAAAATTCGATTGAAATGCGTTAAAACATTGCAGAAATTATAAGTAAAACTGTTAACTGCAATTCTAAAACCCACGAAACACTCATCAAACTATTTATGATTCAACTGTTGAACAGTCTATCGAGTTATAACCATGACTCTACTTTCTGTCCATTTTATAAGTTTACAAGGCAAGATAATCCGAGGACACTGTGAAGGCACCGCGGCTCCACGCGCTCTCCGTTTCCACCAATCAGCGCGCTCCGAGTCAGTCCGTGAGCGCGCGGCCCAATGGCGTGTCGAGTCGTGTAGTTACCCTGCAGGAATGCGAGACGTCAACATTTAAGCCTAGTGTAGCGATCAGCTGGTACACTTTGGCGGCGGAAATTTAGCAGGAGGATCCCTCAGCTAAAGGTACGGTTCAACCTTGCTTTATAGACATTGACTTGAGGCTTGATTAAAAAGCTATCTTTGGGTGAACGTGCTCTAAAGTTGTAACGTCGCTACGGCTCACAATCTCTTAAAATACCGAGGGACCATAGACTGTTGTAGGGACGCTGTCGAAAAGAAAGTGAATGTTCTGATCAAGTTATCTAATGCTATCCAGCATCAGTTGTTGTTTGTCTATTTATTTTTATTATTTCATTCTTTATTTATTAGCCTATTTGAAGACAATTGCACATAGACAAGAATGTATATTGTTAAAGAATGACTTTTTTTCTAGACCGAAAGGGTCTGGCTGAAGTTACTATGCCTATTTTGGTCAGCTCTGTGTTGCTGAATTTGGAATTGACATGATTACCAGCATCAAGAGTGCTAAACAGGTATAGAGTTGGGATGCATTATCTTTACAATCGGCAACTTTTTACATTACTTTTTATTAGGTTGTTATAAGACAACTAAGAATGCAGTAGTCAATAGCAGCATATTTCACAGGTTACGGTTGTGGTTGTTTTAAATGTAACACAATCATACAACCAGAAAAATAAGCCATGAGTAGAGTAGAATAGCTTCACATAATAATTGTGTGCATTGTTACTAAATTGTATTCATGATGGGGTGGCTCTCTTTTCCTCTCTTTACAGTTGCTAAAGTGTCAAATCACCAATATGGCTTCAGCACAGTCCATGTTAGTCCTGGCAGTGCATATTCTGCTGGTTTCAGAATTCATCCTGGCCAAAAGGGACTACTACGACATTCTGGGGGTGCCCAAAGATGCCACTGAGCGTCAGATCAAGAAGGCCTTCCATAAACTGGCCCTGAAGTACCATCCGGACAGGAATAAGGGCCCAGACGCTGAATCAAAGTTCAGAGAAATTGCAGAAGGTGAGTTACCTAACTGAAGTAACAGTAATGTTTTAGCCATGTTTGACACACCCACTTTCTGTAAAATGCAAATCAGGTAACTACAGGTCATTCAAAACAATGTATCATCAATAGTAACCGCAAAACTTGTCATGTATATTAATATAAAGATGATTGTATCTTTATTCACCATAAATATTTCGTTTTTAAAAAATCTGTACTTAACATGGTTGAGGGTAAGTTAGAACATAGAATACAGAATTAAGCTTTTAGAATGTGCTTTTTAGATGAATTCACAGTAATGGCAGAGACTTCTGACACAAATACCTGTATGTAAATCCTGTCTAAACCCTCCGGCCTCGCATCTGTAAACTGGCCTTGCCTAATGCTATGTTATTGTAATCATATTCCATCACATAATTACTGCCTTTTTTAGTATTGCCCTAAATTAGTTTTGGTAATTTCTCAGGGGAAATTACATTCTTCAAAATTGGAACGCTGTGTTTTCAGATACATTTTTTATTATTATTATTTTTGGCTATGATACATCTGTCACCATATTTCTTTTTATTAGTTATTATTTCACATTCTATATGAAAGGACCAGGTGAAATTTTGACTGCCCAAGTATATTACATAAAATTGCATTTGATATACTTACAGCATTGCACTCACAACATTGTTATTTTTCAGCTTATGAGACTTTATCAGACGACAAGAGGAGGCGGGAGTATGACCAAGTCGGCTCATCGGGGCAGGACTTCAGAGGTGGAGCCAGTGGAGGCCACAATGACTATAACTTTAAACAGCACTTCCAGTCCTTCAACTTTAACTTTGATGATCTTTTCAAAGACTCTGACATGTTTGGTCACCAACAATTTCACCATAACTTGCACTCCAACTCCCAAGCACACCAAAGGCGGCACTTCACCAGCCACTTCCAGACCCACCAGGAGGCCATGAAGCAGAATAAGAAGTCTTTTGGAGGGGGAATGTTTGACCACATGTTTGAGGACTTGGAGAAGATGTTCACGTTTAATCCCCACAGTAGTAGGACTGAGGGTGGCTTCCAGCGCTCGGGCAAACATCACTGCCGGACAGTGACTCAGCGCAGAGGCAACATGGTGACTACCTTCACAGACTGCTCCTAACTGCGTACAACAGTGCCCTCTGGAGGCCACCCTGGACACTGTAGGGCTGCATTGTGGTTGGGACATTTTTGTCCTAATTTATCACGTGGTGGATTTGAGAGGAAATTATATTGAATGTGGTATATAATGTTTTATTGCCCTAAAGAACAAACTTTGGCTTTTCATAAGCTCAACTAAAGCAATTATCGCGTCATACATTACAAAACAGCAATAAATCATGGAACATACCTCATGGTTATGTGCATTAGCCTTTAACCTTTACAGCCATGGTCATTTGCATAATGGCACACTGTCAGATTGCTGACCATTTTCTCAGCAATGGCCCAAGCGGTAGTTCCCACATACATTTGGTGAGACATTTTTATATATTGTATATGATCAATTTCGCTCTTGAATAATTTAAAACTGGGGCACCTAATTGCCCTCAAAGTAGTTTGCCAGTTTGAACACACATTTATTTGTTAGTCTCAGACAGAAAATAAAAAAAAGCGAACCTCTCACTCAACCAATCAGTTCTCAGCCAAGAGTCCCAACAGTTCTTACAAGTATTTAAAACATAAAACATGAATAAGATGAAAACTGCCATGTTATGGTCTGATTGGCTCAACAATATTTTATTTTAACAAGATTCGTTCTCTTGGGGCAAACAAATATTATTTAGTAAACAAAAAATGAGGAACCCCAGCTTTAAGTCCTTGGATGCTACGAATGCCTTTTAAAGCTCTTCCATGCATATTTTTGCTGTGAAAATGGTGTGACCAATACTGTTACCTCGTCGGTTAGGAGACTACATCAATAATAGGTAGACATCATTTGGTGTCTACATATTTTTTTGATTATATGACAAAACTATTAACTTTCATTCAGTGCAATTATTAGCACCTTTGCTCTACATGTTGCCTATTGTCACGATGACGTTATATGGTTTCTGATGTCATCGTACCACCTGCACTTTGTCTTTATGTTTGTGAATGGTTTGGAGAATAAAAATGTCATTGGAATAACAGTTTTTTGTTTGTTTGTTTGTTTTTTGTCAATCTTAAAGTAATACTTTTAATTATGAAAATGCTGAACATAGTGAAATAATGTCAACCAGTAAAGAAGCAATGGTCAATTTCTCTCGTCTAAACCAGATTGTAAATTTAAAAGTGCATGAAGTGGATACAGATTCTGGCTGACCTCTGAAGCTAAGCAGGTTAGTATTCATTCATTCTTTTTCTACCCCCTTTATTTAGTACATTTTGGGGTGAGGGGGTGGCAATGATAGCTGCCACCCAATACTAGGTCTCGTGGGGGGATCGAACCCACGACCTTCAGGCCCAAAGACCAATGCTCGACCGACTGAGTCGCTGTCGCCTCTTGGTTGATATTGTGATAGAAAACCTTTGGGAACATCAGGTGCCACAGAGGGGCAGCTGTGGCTGACACTTCAACATTGTCTAGAATGAGTCTGATGTGTGCGAGAATGATTGGTGGTGGTCGAAGGGGCCGATGGCACAGACTGGTTGCCTCCCTTCTGTCAGTGTGCCCCAGAACACCTGTAGCTCCATTAATTGTGTATCACCACAGTGTATGAAGTGAAACAATAAAGACATGGGAAGCGTCGTTGAAAGGCAAAAATATGGAAGATTTTTTGTGTCATCAGATTTTCAATTTTTTTTAGCTTGAATTCTTCAGTTTGAAATTTTTAACCCTGAAAAAGCAAGTTTGAATATTTTTATCTTTACATTTCAGTCACTAAAAATTCAGTTTACAAATTTCAATGTGATTAAAATTTCAAAATGACATATTCACCCTCAAAATATTCATTTTTTTTTCAATGAAAAAAAAAAGACTGATTATTTGTTCCATCAGAAATTGAATTTTAAATGGACCTTAATTCATCTATTTGAATGTTTTTTAAATCTTGAATATTTTTTCTGTGAATTTCAGTTACTGATTATCAATTTCATAATTCAACAGTCAAAATTCAACGAGAAAAAAATTCAATGGTGAAAAATGCACATGACACATCCGGTGTTCTGACCAGTTATGTGCTCTGTCAGTTGGTCTACGGCGCATAATGAACTCTGTTTTCTCTTCACTGACGTTGGAATCTCTCGTTATCTACATTAGACCCTTTAGAACTAATGGAGATTTTGTTAACTTAGAATATTTACGTTACCGTCACTTTAAGAAAGAGAGAGAGAGAGAGAAAGAGAGAGAGAGAGAGAGAGAGAGAGAGGATTTCGCTTTGTTTACAGAGCGAGTGGAGCCGAAAGAGCACGTAACTTTTCACAGCTCAAGAAATAAGCAGCCATACGGTGTTCTTACCGTTGTTACTTTATTTCAGAGACAACTCAGCAAATATCATTTAGTGTACAAGAGTTCAAGCTGTGGAATACATGTTTTTTGTTCATTCCTTTACATGGAGCTCTTTTTCAAGTAACACGAGTGAGCCCTGTGGAAACTGCTACACTGGAAACTAGACCCAAATACTGTGTAACGTAACCGACAATAACACTGTCCTTTGTTGCTATAAATGTTCAAATGTGATGGTTTTCATGAACACAAACAAACACACACAGCCTAAATAAATAAACAGGAATATACAGCAATAATGATTTGAAACGAGCACATTTACCCAAAAAGACTAACTCATCAAATTAATGTAGTATCATCTTGTTATTCGCCTTCGTTTCATTACAATCCATTCATTAGAAATCCCATATCAACCTGTTAGATTCATGTTATCAACCGATGGTGAAACCGATGCTGAAAGCTACGCCAGTCTTTACCTCAGTAAAATGACGCATGCGCAGACCAACTGACAGAGCATATAACTCGTCAGAACACCGGATGTGTCATGTACATTTTTTACCATTGAATTTTTTCTCGTTGAATTTTGACTGTTGAATTTGACATTATGAAATTGATAATCAGTGACTGAAATTCACAGAAAAAAATATTCAAGATGTTAAAAACATTAAAATAGATGAATTCAGGTCCATTTAAAATTCAATTTCTGATGGAACAAATAATCCGTCTGTTTTTTTACATTGAAAAAAAATATATAATGAATATTTTGAGGGTGAATGTCATTTTGAAATTTTAATCACATTTAAATTTGTAAACGGAATTTTTTGTGACTGAAAAGTAAAGATAAAAATTTTCAAACTTGCTTTTTCAGTGTTAAAGGAACAATATGTAAAAATCTGGCCAAAAGTGGTACTGCAGTCACAGTCAATATTTTGTAGTCCTCTCCCACTCTCCCTGACTCAGGTTGCCAGATTCACACCAAATCCAGCAGCAAACACAGGGAATTATTTTATCAGTTGTTTGTGTGTGAATGGAGACGGCTCCATTCACATTGCCATGACAGCCGTGCTAATGCTGAATGAATGTTTTGATTAATGTTTTTTTATTATTATTATTTGGACATTTGAGATAAAAAACAAAAACAAAATAAAAGCAATGTAATTATACATAGTTTATGCTTTCAATTTTATTTATTCCCTATTTTTTAGACAAACATGTAAAAGTCCCACATCAAAAAGAGACTAACATTATTTTAATTGGGGTACATGTGGTCTTTAATGATTATTTTTACAATTAAGCTATAATCTGCAAAAAAACGTCTTGACCTTCATCTTTTACCGTTTTTAGAGCAATCTGTCATAGAATGTGATAACATGCAATAAATACAAAAATACATAGCCCAGAATCGAACCCAGGTTCCTGCATCGTACGCGCACTGTTTAGACGACTAGACCACCGATGCACACGAATGAGTCACTGTGAAGAACGGACTGAAACTAGAAAATTCTGCATCACACGTGAACTTTTATCAGCTGTCTCAATTGTTCAAAGGCGTCCCGATATAAATCCTCGTTTTAGTCTTTGTTTTGTCATTAATGATTTGAGAATCATAACAAGACCTTTTTTAGTTCTGCGCCACATGTTATTTTACCACTGAGATTAATGAGCCGCGCGGAGTTCTGGCAACCCGATCACGGACTTACATGACACTTCCTGATTGGCGAAACGGCGGAGGGTAGGACATCAAAATCAAAACAATAACAACTTTTACGGGTCGTAAAACTAATTTTGATAATCAAATATCTCGGCTGAACTACTGTTATCAGTTAAAGATGAATTCGAAAAGAGTATGATTTAATAACGCCTTTTGAAATATTCGGGTCATTTAATGATGACTTGACATGCAAATATTACATATTGCTCCTTTAAAAATTTCAAACGGAAAAATTCAAGCAAAAAAAAATTCAAAATCTGACGACATATAAAATCTTCCATACAAAAAAGCGATATAAAACCAATTAAATCCCAGCATCAATACTTAATCTACTGTACATGTGCATCACGGCAACTACAGTTGGATTGTAATTATAATTACTTTATTAACCCAGCATACAGTCTCTTTCATATATTCCAAATTACAAGATAAACTACTATTTTTTAATTGATTTATAGTAAGTACTGGAAGTAAGTAATTAGGACAAAATACACTGGGGTAGGCAATATAAGTAATAGCCTCAGCCTTCACCTTTTTTCAAACACTGCTGTTCAAGTGATCAAAATAAACTGTGTTCACACTCCTGCCCTCCAACTGAAACAGAATTCTTCAACTTGTGATCCTGCATGGACAAACAATATACTGTATTGTCCATGCATTATTGCTTAGTCGTGTTGCTTCCGTTCCATCTCTCTTCCAGCAAGCCTATCCAAAGGGAGCGTGTCTGTACCCACCCCTCTCTCCAGCCACACCACCTGTAGAGTCCGCCACAGTGGTTGGGAGCAGCAAGGAGCTTTTCAGTTTGATAAGAGACTGCATTTCTAACATGATCCCAGCTGTGAAACTCAACAACGGAGCGGACATGCCTATTTTGGGCTTGGGAACGTGGAGTGTAAGTCATAATTTGTTGTATCTTTGACCGTACATAGATAATTACTTCTACTTTTTTACTTTTTGGCTTTTACGACTTACTGTTCAGGATTAGCTTGTGAGTATGTGTGTTACGACCCGGCTCAGCTAGGTGTGAGGAAGTAACAAAATAACCAAGATGGTAGAATGGTAACTAAAATCATAATTTATTTAGGTGACAAAGTAGGTAAAACAAAATAGGATTAATATCTACATAACACACAGTAAATAAATAACCTATTAAAACAAGTAAGCAATTGACAAAACCAAAAGTGTAACCTAAACTAAAGTGTCTCAACATAAACTAAACAAGTCACTGAACTAAGGTACCGGCAGCTACCCGAGCTGCGGAAGATTGGCAGTTTATAAGGGCGGGTCCTCCAGGTGAGCGCATGCTGATTGGGGGCCTGCCTCAGCTGCTACCCAATCATCACCCAGGCATCGCGGCCAATCAGCTCCAGGTGGGGAATGACTGGTCAATAGGAGCCCAGGACTTACGAGCGTGGTCTTCTGAAAAAAAGTGAGGAAACACAACCACACAGAGACACCACGGGAGAAACTAAAGTGGGCCGTGGGCCGTAACAATAAGCTAAGTAGCAGCTTTTAGTTCTAAAATTAAATCTCTCACCCAAAAAGTAGCAACTAATCCCCAATTACTAGTGTCTTGATTTTAGATTTGATGTGTTGATACACATTTTCAATGCGGATGCATTGTATGTCAACAAACTGAAAAGAAATATATAGTTTTTTTATCAAAAACAGACCGGGGATGATTTACTGAACACTGCAGGAAATCTGACTGAAAGCGTTGGCTGCAGAGACGCATTTTTTAAAAAATATGATGGGGATAAGCCCCTAAACCCCAAAAGTAATCAAGTTATCATATGTTTACACCTGATAATTTAAAAATGTGAAAACTTCTCTCCCTGGTGGTTTCACCATATAATTTTATGACCTTTTTTATCATATGATTATAATACAAATACGTCTTCACATTATATTAATATGAAATACTTCATATCAGGTGCACTACACTATCTATCTATCTATATATATTTAATCTAGATATGTTGATACTCACTCTCTGCTCTTTTGAAGTTTTTACAGCTAGCTAAGAAGAAAGCAAGGAATGTCAAGTAATCTAGCAGTTCAGGATTCAGCTGTAACACTTTGTGTATAAGTTTGATTATCGTACTGAAGTGCGACAGTTGCAGGGAAAAGACCTTTTCATCACAAAATGTGTGCAGTGTGTGTTTTTAAGGATTTTTAAAAATGTTTTTAAACAAATTTGCCTCTATTCCAGGCGGAACCAGGAAAGGTGATGGAGGCTATCAAAGTGGCTCTAAGTGCTGGCTACAGGCACATAGATGGGGCTTTTGTGTACCAGAATGAGCAAGAGGTTGGGGAAGGTCTTAATGCTATGATCCAGCAAGGACTAGTCAAGAGGAAAGACGTCTTTGTGGTGAATAAAGTGAGTAAGTGCACTCCCAAACTTGTTGGTCTTATTCACTTGAACTGGATCAAGTCTGGTTCACTTGTAGAAAATTCCGATTCAGAGGAGTTCGGAGAGTCCATGGAGCATGACTATCGGTCGGCCTCGAAGAGATTCTTGCAAACTGTCCGGCGCCTCAGTAAGGCCTCAGTGCTTTGCCAACACTGTGTACGGTGCGGATTGAGAGCTGCTGACCTCCACTGCAGATATTGTTCGATGGTGGAAGGAATACTTCCAGGTTCTCCTCAATCCCCCCGTCATATCCTCCGTCCCGGAGGATATGGAGGATGAGGATTTTGGGGCGGATACCTCCATCTCCCTGGCTGATGTCACCAAGGTGGTTGGCAGCCTCCTTGGTGGCAAGGCTCCGGGAGTGGATGAGGTCCGTCCTGACTATCTAAAGTCTCTGCATGTTGTAGGACTGTCTTGACTGACACATCTCTGCAACATCCTGTGGTGCTTGGGGGAGGTCCCTCTCTAAGAAGGGGGACCAATTATCGTGGGATCACACTTCTCAGCCTCCCCAGTAGCAGGGGAGGCTGGAGGAGCAGCGTGGTTTTCACCCCACTCATGGAACACTGGACCAGCTCTCTACCATAGACTGTATATATTATCTCTGCCGTTCTAACTAATGGGCCAAAAATTGGGCTTTCAAGGAGAGATTCAAAATGACCTCTCTGGAAAATGTGAAAAAACGCATCTGCGCATGCGTCAGCCGGCACGAGCCCCATTCATTTAAACAAGTGACTTCAAAATTTCACAGCGAGTAAACTAGACTGGTCCAAAAAAAATTCACTCCCCTCAGCATTGACACACATGTGGAACGGAGCTTTGGGCCAAGAGCCAACTTCTGGACCATCCTGTAAAGACGTTTTCGAGAGGTCAGAAGATTGGCTAAATTCTTATTCCGGGTCCACTCCCATTGGCCCGGGGTGGTATTGCCCTCTTGAACTCTTTGACCCATGTGTTTTTTTTAGCTAACACAATTTCAAATTGAAACTTTTTAAGATGAGAAAAACTTTACATTTTTAACTGATACTTCAAGGGCAATGTTTAGAGGATTCATGCAATGTAAAACTTTAAAACATTTTCCAACTTAATTTATAGTAAAGCCATGTTGAAATTGTCTGTATCAAATTCTATACAGCGGGTATTTACGGTAATTTATTTTCCACTATGTTTTTCATTTTTTTCATTTTTTTGCAAGACTTTTCATCAAATAAAGCAACACCCAGTTTGTTATCTTGTGTAATTTTAGAAAAATTAGCTTTAAATGTATAATCCAGTTTTATTTGGGGTAAATATTTTTTGTCATGACTTTTGATGGATATCAGTCATCAGAAATAATGACTACAATACAGCAAAATGCTTTTGGGAGGATTAGTTGATAAAAGTAGAATATACAGTAGGTATGCAGTTTTTTTGTTTAAAAATTAATAGATACAGATTCCAGGTACTATAATATTGTGTATTTTTTCAGATGAAAAAATAAATAAAGCATTGTGGATGTTGTGAAGATGATCATCAATAGGCATTTGGGTGACATGAAGGAATACATTTTTATTAAAAAAAATAAATACTTTTTTCTGATAGTATGTGTATGGCCCGATGCATCAAAAGTTATACAAATAAATAGTCATATTTGCAGATTGAATTTGTATTTATTTATTTATATTTATGTTACAGGGAATAGCCTGATCCTGTGCAATATCAGAAAGTAAGCGGGGCAGGGTCTGGTTTGCACTGTGATGGGAGACCTCAGACAACAGTTGGGTGGCTATAGGTTTAAACCAGACCAACAAATGTGAACACGCCATGAATTTTTTATATTTACACCCAGTTTCATCGTAAGTGTTATGTGGATTTGATTGTTATAAATATAAAATCGCTTGTGTTGTTTACAGTTATGGAACACTTTTCATCTTCCTTCACTGGTGAGAAAGGCCTGTGAACAGACGCTCAGAGAACTTAAACTAGACTACCTGGATCTATACCTCATGCACTTCCCAATGGGAGCTAAGGTCATTACCACCTCTTGAACTCTAGCAGCTAAAAATTCACTGATTATTGAAAAATACTGTATAGTACAAGTATAATTTTACATTTTGTGTGTTTTTGCATTTGCAGCCTGGTGATGATCTATTTCCTGTTGATGAGAGTGGAGAAATGTATTCTGATGGCAGTAATTTCCTTGAAACTTGGGAGGTAATTTTATTATGTGACTATATATTAGTCACATTATAAGACTATATTCTAAATTGTATGTAAAGTATTATGTCGGTCACCAATTGCGTAAGTCATCCCACTTTAAAAAGATGAGATGCCTGTAGTTTTCTTAATCGGTATACCTCAACTATGAGAGACAAAATCCAAAAATCTGACTTTTAAAGAGATTATTTGTCCATACGTACTGTCAGTATGACCTTGTGTCATGGATATGACATGGATACTTGTTAGGCAGTCATGGATATGACACAAGTGTTTGTTTTTACAAACAAACCAGGCCAAGTGTGTGAAGTCTTGCCACAGGGGTGTGAAGATGGCCCGCTGTCACAAGGGTTTATTTTTCAACTGTGCCAGACCAAATGCGCTGTAGTACAACTCTCTGTCCAGCTGGTGGCGGTAATACTAACTTCAGCGACTACCTCGTGGTCTGAGTTACGTTTACGATTCTCTTCCTGTTAACTCTCGGCTACTGTGGCCAACAGCTTGAGCATGGCTCGCATTCTTTGCAATCAGAGTCAGTGGCTCTCATTTATGAAACTTGCGCAGAAAAGGGTGTACATTTTGGGTGTACATTCAAAATACGCAAATATGAATGTGTGAGATCCGCCCAGATCCGAGCGTAAGCACTTGCGGCTGTTCATAAATGCCGCGGCAGAAAACGAACTTATCTTTGGAAGTCACGCCTAGTAAATATGCAGCATCTGCCTGTTTCACGCCCGGTTTTTGCGACATAGCTGAATGGAAGACGGCCAGGAAGACTCAAAAGGCCTGTGGCCCAACCTCTTGAAGAGTTGAGTTTGTTCCCGTTTTTTTAAAAGAACTATCCGCAATACCAAGCTGCGTTTCCACTGAACACATTTTCAACACTTTTTTGATTCATTGCAAAAATCTTGCTCGAGCTTTAAAAGTAAATACATAATTAAATGAATGAATATTAGTATCTTGGCCTCAGCAGTGGCTCTCATCAAGCGTCTGCAGCATCTTCTTGTGAATGCGATGGAGCGGCGATCTCTGTACACTTGAGAGAGGATGTGTATGAGAAGCTTTTGTGAAGTGGTGGTCCATGATTTCACAGATAAACTCTGGATCCAAAACTTCTGAATGACACGCACCACATTTGAGGAGTTTTGCGGAGGGACCTCTCGTGGCAGCAGCTGCCCAAGAGCCACTACAGATAAGCGCCATCGTTGCCACTATAGACTGGCTACATTCGGAGTACTGGGCAGACATTTTGAGTGAGCAACACCACAGTCCATCGGTGCATTTATGGGGTCTGCGAGGCTTTTTTTGCACAAAACTATTGAAAAAATACATTGCTTTGTCAGATACAAAACATTTAGCCATGCGTATTTACGCATCGCAGGGCCTGCCACAGATTTACGGAGCAATAGATGGGTCACACATCTCTGTTAAGTAAGTAAGTAAGTGTATTTGTATAGTGCCTTTCACAGACCAGGATATTTATTTATTTATTGTTATTTTGGTTGGGACAGCACATGTTAATAAACAAATCACTCCGGATTGTAGCCATGGGTTATTTTGCATCCGTTGTCCCACATTCACACTCACAAAACACACACTCATTTATCCTGAACTATTGTACATGTTTTAGTGGTAGGGGAAACCCATGGATCTATTATAATAACTGGATAGTATATTACTAGCTTGGAGCTGAAGGGACTGGCTTGTACTCTCGGGATTATCGCAGTACTGCAGACTAAACGAGACTAAATTCACTTGGGCTACCCATAAATGTTCCCCATAGAACTCAATGTAAACTAAAACAGCTCAACGTGAGCTGACAGAGAACCTACTGCTTTCATAAAGATCAAATTTTGTGGGGATTTTAGTGTCTTCTTAAATCCTTCTGTATTCTTTAAATCCATACTTTAGTGCTGTATATTACCAGCAACAACCCTTCAGGTCACAGCAGCAGATGTGGAGTACTTAGGACTTAGAGCGCATTCAGAAGAAGATTACAAGAACATTTTGGTCAAAACTAAAAATTCATGAGCGTGCTTTGCCGTTTCAATCGAATGATGCAATAGCTTACATGTTATCCCTCTTCTGAACACTTAATTAAATCTGGGGACAGGCGTTGGAGTTTCTTTGAAGAAGATGACCTTCTGTGCATGTGGAATACAAGCCTTCAGCTCTTGGAAGCCTAGTGCTGCGAAAATTGTATCTGTTGGCCAAGGTCTGCCAAATGTTGCTGTGATTCTGTTGCTCTCTTAACCTGTTGTGTTCCCCGAATGGTTCAATCATGGTGCCTTCACTATGACTCAGGAGGAAGTCCAGCGAATCTTATCCACAACCACAGTCTGGAAAGCCATACGGCTGGATGGCATCCCTCTTTGTGTTCTGAAACTGTGCTCGGAGAAAGATGTCATTTTCAACTTGTCGCCAAGGATCTGTACCATGCTGACCAGCTTTAAGGAGTTGTAACATTCCAGTTACAAAGAAAACTTATATAACATGCATTAATGATTATCGTACTGTGGCCCTCACGTCTGTTCTTATGAAAACTTTTGAGCGGCTTGTGTTAGACTTCATAAAGAACCAGAGCAAAAGAGTTCTTACAAACAGATGCGATCTGTTTTGCCGTGTACTCTGTGTAGACCAGGGATGTCAAACTAATTTTGGTCAGGGAACAATTAAAAAGAATAGGAACTCGATGTCCTTTTCTTATTATTTTTTCTGGTTTATTTTTCTGAAAACAAAATGTGTTTATTGTTTAGATTGAACCAAAACTGGATCAAATATAAAGTTAAACATATTTTATATTGAACTATTTAACTTATAATGATGTGTCATTGGGTTAAAATGTTATAATACATTTAATTTGGTTGTTTACCTGAGAATATAGATGATGTATAACCTTCCTTGGTCGCCCATTACCATCAATGCTGCTAGTTAATAATATAATAATAATTTTAAGGGTCACTAAAAATTGGCTTGCAGGCCGGATCTGGCCCCCGGGCCTTGACTTTGACACCCATGCTGTAGACTCTGTGTGATTGTACATCTGTCACAAGAATGCAGTTCATTGATTATAGTTCTGCTTTTAATTGTTTGTCCCAGTCTCTTGGTTTGAGTGATGCCATATGTAAGTGGATTTTTTTTAGCTCTTAAACAGTCGGAGCTGAGGGAGTCAAAATCAACAGCGGTTTGTCAGGTGTAGTTTCTGTGAGCACTGAATCTCCGCAGGGATGCATTTGAGTTTTCTCCTTTTCACATCCTATACTCATGACTTTGTGTTTCCCTCTGACTTTAACCAGATCATCAGATATGCTGATGACACCACCATCATTGGTCTCATTAGTGATAATGATGAATCTTCTTACAGAGCAGAAATCCAAAACGTTGTTCAGTGGATTTATCAGTTGTTGCCTCCCTTGTTGTTTTATACAATGTAATGAAATGTTGCTTTTAGATTATCTTATTAATGAATAATGAGAACATGGTGTTTTAAATCCCTCTCATGTGAACATAAGTTATATAGGCATGTATATGGGTGTTTCATTGCTGGCTCACGGAGCCGAGAAGGCTGAGGGGAGCGATGGTTTGGAGGTGGTCTCCTCCCTGGACGTCTAACCATGTAAAATAGAAAGACACCTTTGGTCTAATCTTTGTGTGCTCTTGTCCAGATGACCTGCAGTAGAACTAGGTATTAACAATATGCTACTTTTTATTTGATATCACAGAGAAGACAAATTGTGGTTCGTACCTTTGTATGAGGTATGCCCTTTTTGTTGCATTGCTGAGTTTGTTCTTTTGGCACAACTGGCGCACGCCACTCCTCCCACCACTTTATTATAAAAACCAAACACAAAAGGAATAACAAACAATTTGATTTATATATCCCCTTTTTTTCTTAAACTGGTCATACATTTTTTCATAAAATAAAATAAAATTGGAATCTCATGTTTTCGAGTGGGAGAACTTGTACTTTGTGTGTGTATTTTAATATTTTATTGTTGGCTGACAAACATTTGTCAAGAGATGTTTTACAAATGCATCAATAGAGTTGTAGTTTTAGTAAAAGCTTTTATCTTTTACTGAAAGACACCCAGCCCTATTTTCACCACAACATTCACAATAATGCCAATCTCTCTGTAGAAAATGGAAGAACTTGTGGATGAGGGGCTGGTGAAAGCGATCGGCATCTCAAACTTCAACAGAGACCAAATTGAAAGCCTTCTTAACAAGCCAGGGCTCAGACACATGCCAGCCAACCTGCAGGTACAATAGGTCTCTTCTTTTCACTTTGCTAACATTTTTTCCACGTTGCATTGAAAATTCTTCCCTTTCCCCAGATTGAGTGCCACCCTTATTTGATTCAGGAGAAACTCATCAACTACTGCCACTCAAAAGGCATGACTGTGACGGCCTACAGCCCGCTGGGGTCTCCAAACCGACCCTTGTAAGACAACAGCGCAACCATGTAAACAGAAATGTAAACGACGAGCGAAACTAGGACAATTAGAATATCTATTTCTGTAATTTCACTTATATTCTGAAACCAAATACATGATATAGACTAATTACCTGCTAAGTGACATATGCAGGTAATTGATAAATCTCACTGCATGTAATAATTCGGTCATGTATTAGTTTCACATTTTAAGTTCATTACAAAAGTCGATGGACTCTAGAATTATATATTTTAATGTTATTTAATTGAAAGTATGACAGTAGTAGATGTAGCTTACGAAACACACAAATGTGTTCACTTTTCCAGGGCTCCAAAAGATGAAATTTCTCTTCTTGATGAACCTGTAGTCAAGGCTGTTGCCAAGAAACACAACAAAACTCCAGCCCAGGTGAATACTGACCCATTGTTTTACTATTAGAAAATTAATATTTATCATTTCCGCTGATCCAGAAATGGACTAATAAAGGGGTAGAAAATTAAATGAAAAATACATATATTATTAGAACCATGAAATTCTGGAGGACACCAATACAGTTTTCCTTCTCTTTAAGATGAAAAGTTTATTTGTAGTGTTTTGTGCAGTTTGCTGAAGCCAAATATGTCAATTGTATAATGTGTGTGTGCATGTGCTCAAAGCAGCTGATGAGAAGTCTGCAGTCCCCTCTGGGCACAAACTTTCCAGCAAAAGCATAAATTCTATCCTACTGCATTAAGAGGAAATGCATGTGACATCGGTATCGTTAAACCATTACAAGAAACATTAGTGATGGCAATTAATGTAGGCCGTGTAAATATATTTCTAAAGTTCATCAAGAGCCTGTAGGCAGGGAGCTGCTCAGTAGAATGCAGTCTGCTGAGTCAATGATAATATTACAATAATGTCCCCAGATCCTTATAAGATTTCACGTTGAGAGGAATGTGGTTGTAATCCCCAAGTCCAGCACACCAAGTCGGATACAGGAGAATATTCAGGTATGTGCATTTCTTTGGAAAAATGATTTAATGTTTATTAACAAGCACGTTCTTTTTAAATCAGATCTTTGACTTCAAGTTGAGTGATGAAGACATGGAAAGTCTGCTGAGCCTCAACAAGAACTGGAGAGGATTTACAATGGAATGGTTTGTAAAGCGAATGAGGAAAACACTAAGACAATGTATAATATTGTATTTGTCAATTTTTTTCACTTTCATGCTAGTCTGTTCCGTCAGACAGGATACAGGTTCCAGTAATGGCTATATGTTATTTCTCCCCCAGCAGGGCTTCACAGCATAAAGACTTCCCTTTGCTTACCGAGAACTGATAATTAAATCGTTGCCACCACTGTGTTATGAATACATTTTATAATATTGATTGAAGTGATGTAAGTTTTTTTAATTTTTCCACAGATATTTTTAATCCCTGTATAGACAATATAAAAAAATAAATGGCCGGTTGGCTTTGTTTATAAAATGTACCCAACTTTGAATCCGCAAATATGAATAATTGTGTAATAAAGATAACGTTTCTTGCTCTCAAAACTTTGGTTCTCTCACTAGTTTTCACATAGTCTATAGTTATATCTCATTGATAAAGAACCATCCACACTGAGTCAACATAAACACAATTTTGTCTGATATGTTCACAATTTTTTTTCTGTTGGGACAAATGTGTGATAATGAAGCAACAAAAAGCACCACAAAGCGTTTCCAGAAAATATTAAAAAAACAAATCATTCAGCAACTCAGCACTTAGCCCAAAGCATCAAAAGTGACTCACAGGGCTCTCTCTACTTTCTAAGTATGAAAAATGAGTTTTGTGATAGAGAAAGACAGTGTGTGTGATTAAATGTATTCACATTTTACTTTTACAAGTTTGGACAAACAACATGATTGTATAGTATTTATGGTGTAATTGATGTGACAGTGCAGTCGTGGTCAAAATAACTCTGGGTATTGGCATGGCTCATTAGAAACAACAACAACAACAGTTTTTCCCCACAGTACTTTTTATAAGAATGGATAAGGAGAAGTGGAACCTGCTTTATTACCACGCACTTGGCAACACACGACAAACAGCATCACTAACATCAAAGAGAAATGCTCGAAGCACCTATAGCTTGACTTGTCTTTCATGTTTACATCAGGAGGCAAACACATACTTATTTATAGGTTACATTAATGTTCTAGGAATCCATTTCATTTGGAGGGATGGATACCACTATAAAGAGAGAAGCTATATTTGTATATTTTACTATAAAACTGTAAATGTTATGCTGGTGGTGGTGGAAACTAGGGATGCACTGATACGACGCTGGTACCGGATAGCGTTGTAGACATTTCAAGACAATGGTTAAGGTGAAAATGCCTTTCCATTGATGTAATAAAACTACAGAGCTTTGCAAAAGTATGAATACACTTTGTTACTATTTCAGAAAAAAAAAGTTCAGACAACTTAAAGAGATAGAAATGACATGATTGTTAATAAACTAAAAACTTCTGGGGTACCAATATGTCTCATCCCCAGGGTCAAATATGGAGATGGCAGCATCATGCTGTGGGACTGCTGTTCTTCAGGAGGAACAAGAAAGTGTGTCAGAGTTGATGGGTAGGCATAAAATACAGGACAATCTTAGAAGAAAAAGTAACCATGCTGTATGACTTCAGTTAAAGATTATTACATAAACAAAATCATGAATCATTACTCAAAGTTGTCTGTTACTGTGTTGTATGTTATCAGTAAAATATTAAAAGGACTCAATACCAAATAAACTATTTTGAACTCATAAACTGCATTAATATCTTTCTCATGGTGCTTTCTACATGTTCTTTAATTGCAAATTAGAAAAAAATCTTAATTTTGAGCCTAAAACAGTGTGTGACGCCGTCTACATTGTTGGCGGCACTATAGTAGAATTTGGTGCCTGGCCTCTGCATTGGCTCTGGAGTGCAAAGTGACGTTGCTCTCTCGGCGCCTGTGGTATAAGCATCCAAGTCTCACACAAGCCCCCGTAGCGAGTTTCTGGCGACATCTAGTGGTTTAAAATTGGATTACATCAGCTGACAGCCACTACAGCTGAGATAATTATCTTAGTGCGTAAACAAGGATGGAATGAGAATTTCTGGTGTGTAAACTATTGCGTTAAACCAGCAATAACAACTATTTTTTTCGGCCCAGACCACGCCCAACTCTAGCCCCCTTTCTTGTCCCCTGGTCCTCCAGAGAACACCCTTTTTAGAGATACATTTTAAATGTTCATGTGGGCGGAGAAAGGTTGGACACAGGTGTTTAGTTTTCCTTTAAAAGTAAAATCTCTCTTTTTGGTTGTAACAAAATTGTGAATGTCAGACTTGTTGCAAAATGTCCATTTTGCAACAATTCTTTCTTTTCAAGGTCGGTATGTGGTACGAAAAAGCTGGATCAGTGCATCCCTAGTGGTGACCTCCGCAGACACGGCAAGAACATGCAAACTCCATTCACCACCCAGTTATATTCCTTTTATATCTGCAACCTTTAGTGTGTAGCGTGAGATTTTAAAACAAGTTTAGTATTTTCACATCTCAAACATCAATCTGGCAAAGTAACAGATTTGATAATGATTGATTAAACAAGAAGGAGGAAAAATGCTGCCAACAATTTAACAATACTTCAACACCAGAGATGTCCACAAAGTACTGGTTAAATACCATAAATGTAGAGAGAAAGCAAAATAAGAACCACCTCCAAAAGTGAAACTCATCAGAATTCAGCATTGAATGGGTAGTCTTTGTGCTTTGTGCTCCTAAAGAAAGAGAAATCAGTTTTTCCATGAACATATTGCAGATGATAGAAGGTCAGTCCAAAGGCTGCATTAGTTTATCTCACCACTGCATGGGACACACTCTCCAGTTGCGGTTAAATCCCAGGATGGTCTTCATTTCTTCCTGACTTAGTTCAAAGTCAAATACCTTCAAAAGTAAAACAAAAAATTCTATCATTGTAGCCAAAAAGTTCTGTCTAATCCAAACACAAAAACTAAGTTCATCATGTCTTATGTCCTGTATGTATTGAGGCTTAAAATTTTCTACTCAGACAATCTTGTTCTAATGAGAATCAAATGTTCTGAATTTTATAAGAAGAACTTTTTAAAGCGCTAAAACAAATGTTATTTTTCCCCTGGAACAACACACAACTAAAGGTCTATAGCCGGACTCTAATACTTACTTGAAAGTTTTCCTGGATCCTCTGAGGAGTGATCGACTTTGGGATGACGATGACATTTCTTTGAATGTGAAAGCGGATTAGGACCTGTCGGTGCAAACCAGTTAGAATTGTACTGGTCCGTTCCCTTTAGTGTGAGATTGTACCTGTGCTGATGTTTTCTTGTGCTTTTCTGCAATGGCTTTAATGTTAGGGTCCTCCATCAGAGAGGGGTCCTCTGGTTTAGCCCTATGAGAACACCAGATGCAAGTTAGATTATACGGCTGAATGATTTTGGCAAAGATTTTGGAGTTGCTTTTTTTATGTCAATAATGATTAGATTAAAAAGATTAAATCTGGGGAAGCCAACATCTACTTTTTGCCATGTAATAAAATCCATGTAATTTGTTCCTTTTCCACAAAAAAGTTTGGATCCATCCCTAGTTTTCACTAGCATGCATCTTTTAGTCTCTGTCACATCTTCAAATCTGCATTCTTTACAGAAAATGACTGAAAGTGACACACAAAGAAAACAATCTAATAAAATGAGCATCTTGTGATCTGATTTATTCAAATGTTACTTTTACAAGACTATTTCTGTTGCGACAAACAATATACACTAGTCATGAAATAATCCTATACATTTTAAAACATGCACGATCAAATTTGCTCTGGTTTAGCCATTTTTTTTACTTTCTATCTATCTATCTATAAACCGTATTAAAAAAAAAACTTATAAAAATCCAACTTTGCCAAAATGTTGCCAAAATGTTGCCAAATCATGTAAAATATGAGTCATGTCTCTGGTCAAAAACTTGTGACTTATGTTCCTCTTTGTGCAAAGAGCTCAGTGCCAATGTAGGTCATCTTCTATTAGTTTTGAGCTTGAAGAGACTGACCAGGGCCGGTCAGGAGATCCCAGGGGGCTGTAGGCGGTCACAGAGATGTCCTTTGAGTGGCAGAAGTCGATCAGTTTTTCTTGGTTTAAGTAAGGATGGCACTCCACCTAGAAACAACAGTTATTTGAAGATGTGTGTGCGATGTGAGGGGGGGGGGGGGGTATATGATGACAGTATATGAGCAATGTTTTGAAACATGTATATATGAAATACATTTGGCCAAAGCTGAAGTACATAACTTAATAATGTTGTGGTCAAATGTATTCACAACATTTTACTTTTTTAAAGACTTTTTCTCTTGGAACATTATTTTTTGGTGTATTTAGACATTAGATGAACACAAGCTGAAACGTATTTGGTACTTAACAGTGATTGCAGATTATGAAATGTATAGCATGGATCAGAGTGTTATTAATGGGGCATAACCCACACATCATATTAAAATGGAGGCAGTTTATGGTTGCTTGCTGTTCTTTCTGTCCACAAAAAATATAGAGACAATGCATGCGGCACAGACATTCCTAATCCAAGCAGGCTGGATACTGATTGTGACAAATGTCTTCAGAAAACAGCATATATAAAAGGTCAGAGTGTGGCCCGAGGGGTTGTTTGGAACAGGGCCACAACCAAAGAGAACATTTACTTCTGGGACTTGATGGGAGAGGACAGATAATAGCATTAGTGTCTTATTGCTGTTCTGGAAATGTGGTTTGGTTTGGTGCCCAGACTGAATATCTGGGTGACTGGACAGTTTTATATGCATGTAACACACTCACATTTCAATAGTTCAAAAATATTGAACAGTAACCCAAACCCAAACCAATGAACTGTTTAGCTTCTGAACGTTGTTATTTCTTATTTATAAGGAAAAACAAAAGTACCAGCTATTGGCAAATAGGGATCACAAAACCTTTAGAACAAAAGATTAAATAGATTTTTTACATTTCTATAAGAAATGTGTTGAAACAGTACAATGTTTGCTCACCTGATTGTTCGCAGGTTTGTACTTGAGGCCGGGTTTGTTCAAAATGGCTTCAATTTGATCCTTGTTGAAGTTGGAAATGCCTATGGCTTTGACCAGGCCGGCATCAACAAGCTCCTCCATAGCCTGCCATGAAATCCATATAGTATAAATTGTATATGTTCCAACATTGATATCACTTCTTCACGTACCTCCCAGGTTTCTAAGAAAGTAGTGTTGTCAGTAATGGTGTTGCCGCCTTCATCCAGTGGAAAGAGATCATCACCTGCCTGAAGACGGTTTGTTAGATTTATCAAAACACAGAAGGCCATCAAACTTTCTTCCGTCTTAGTATCCACCTTAAAACCCATCGGCCAGTGGACTAAATACAGGTCAAGGTAATCCAGTTTCAGGTCACGAAGGGTCTCCTCACAGCCTTTTCGTACACGCGCTTTTTCATGGAACGTACACCACAACTATAAGAAATATGAAGATGTTAAAAAGTGATGACTGACTTTTGTTATGAGAAACGAACCCCACAAACCTTGCTGACAATGAAAAGTTCCTCTCTCTTGACCACACCCTCCTTAATCATGGCATTGATACCCTCGCCCACCTCCACCTCATTCTTGTAAACGAACGCTCCATCAATGTGCCTGTATCCAGCGGCGATGGCAGCTTTTACAGCCTCGGTCACTTTCCCTTGGGGAGACTGGAAAAATATTTGTTTTTTTAAATGTTACTTTTTCATGACATTCATTCATTCATGAATTTATGAATAATGTGGCATCACAAGATTCCAAAGAGACTAGGGTTTATCATTGTGGTGAAGGGCAGCCATGTGTAAAAAGTCAGATTTCTACTCTTTGTTTGGAGCCAATTTCTCTCATTCCCGGGGCAATCCGCCTGAAGGAAACACTGTCAGAACATGTCAACTATGAACTAATCATTTTCTGTAGAACTGGTGATTATATATACATTATATAACAAATGATGTTGGCCAGTCGAAACCATAATATAACAATATGGCGGAATCTAGATGATAGTGAATCACTATCAAAAAATGATTGTGGACAACATTTGGACATTTACTTTTTCAACATTTCCTTATACAGTTCTATTGCCCTTCAACTGAAATAGAATTCTACAACATAAACAATCTATTAACCATGTATATACTCAGTTTCTCCTGTCTGCAAGTTCCTGTAGTGGTACAACATCCATTGACAGGAACATGACAGTTCAGTTCAGGTCAGTTCAGTCTTAATAAGAATATGATTACAAAATATAGCACACCTCATTGAATTTGAAACAGTTCCAGGTTAAGACATTACCCTAACCCAAACTTTCCAAATGGATTTGAGGTATGATTAATATTCACACTGTTTATCTGGGGTGCTCTTTCTTTCTTCTCTGCAACTTGTGATGAAACACTAATATTACATCTTATCTGAAGATTTAACCCCTTTAGGCGCCAATAGTATGTAATGCTTTGTATAGCAATATGTATCAGGATTAATGTATACAGTTATATGTATTTTAAAAGTATGGTATTGTACTGTTTTGAATGGGTGAGAAGTATTGGTATTATAAACACGTGGAGTGTTTATAATACCAATGCCGCAATCTAATATAAAATAAATAATGTTTATAATAATTATCACAAGAGCTAATAATCTAGGACACTCCCTATAAAGCCAGCTGTCTTCCAACAAACACTTCCCATTTCATTTTTATGCATTTCAGTTAAATGGTCGTACTAAAGTCAATGCAGCTGCCAATTCTGTTTCAGATACGATTTCTGACCATTTCTGACTTTTATAGAGTTAATCTCCAAAATAAGAATACCATTTCACATTAATTATGTACATGAATAACACGCAATTTTGCAAACTTATTTGTTATGTGTCTCCATTCTATTAAACCTGCATGAAAGAGCAGAGCCAAGAGTTTATTATTAGAATATTACAGGCACCACTTTCACACGTCACAGTTGGGAGTTCTGCCATGTATAATCAAGGATATATAATAATATGGTGTATAATGCAAAATAAGTGAAAGAATGTCTTTCCCTGGGGTTAATCCCTTTCCAAAGTTGAGCAGCCGAAGAATGCATTAGAGCTAGCGCTAAAGTTATAGGACGTAGTCCCACACGTTACTAGAATCACAGAGAGTACTATGAAGTCTATAACTGGTACAAAAACGAACCTTCCATGTTCCGAGTCCCACGATGGGCATTTGTCTCCCGGTGTTGAGTTTCACTGTTGTGGCCATTGTCTCACGCACCGAGCGGAACAAACAACACTGTGCAGACTGTGCAGAGGCTCTGAGGAGAAATGTCTCTGGGATTGATTAGCCACGTCTGCCCATGGTCAGCACGGAGCCTGGCCGCCACCAGAGGGCGCCATTACCATTACTGCTCACGCCCATAGACTGTAGATATTAATTAATTGTGTTAATATCGATATTGGATTATGGATCCATATCCAATATCGATATTAACACAATAAATACAACATTTACAGTATATGCTCACATCCCATGCCATGTAAGTGTTATCCACTCAGCTACCGTCAACATACTGAATGAAGGCTTATTATTATCTATTTTGACTATCCATTTTGACTATCATGATTCATGAATCAATCAAGCTTTATTTATACAGCCCTTTACAACACAAATATGTCTATATACTTTTACTCAAAGAGCCAACCTACCTCACCGCGACTTAAAGTAGGCTGCCCTTTTCTCCTATACTTGATGCTGCTCTACCAGGTGTACCAATTGGTGTGCTCTAAACTGGAATATTGAAAAGACAAAAAAATAAATAAATAAAGTTAATCTTTCGTCTTGGACAAAATCTATCCAATATTTGCTTCCATCTTTCAAGTCTCAACAAAGTGCACTTCTGGGCTCTTGCATTGTGACTGCAGTCATTACAGATGGACTTTTTATCACGCGAATATTCTTAATATTAGCTGAGTGATTGTTTCTAAAGAAACAAAAAATATTTTACAAAAAGATTTTTTCAAAACAACGATATTGCTTTTCCCTAAAATGTTTTCAGAAGTTTAAATACACTTCCATCTCTTCACCCTCTTGTCTTTCTGTTAGTGAACACTAGAGGGCACTATCGCCATAGGATATCAGCACAGTTTCACCAAACACGACAAGAAAGTGCGCCATAACATTTTTATTAATTTACAAGTTATGGTTAACTGGATTTTATGCTGTCCAGTTTCCCTCATAATCTTTTATCCAACACAAATAAGACAGTGTGTGCTTTGGTGAAGTTTTAAACACAATACAAGCACCATGCAACTTAAACTTAAGCAAAGACTATGTTTAGAGGAACTGTTTTTATGTATTAATGCCTTTTTATGTATATATTTTAAAAGTTCCTTAAAGTCTCTGCATTAAGCTGCTGTTTGTGCTACAACCTGCCCCATACCCATCAAGCGTCCAAACATGCATCAACCATTATACTAATTCAGGGGCAATTCTAGCACTTTTAGGGGGTACTCAAGCAGTAAGTGGTGCTCTTATGAAAACAATAACATTGGCTTTGTTTGAAACTCAAAGTGTTTGTTCCCATATCTAATAATATATTCAAGAGAAACAAAAATGGAATATGTACCATGTTTAATATAATTTAGGAAGGGGAGTGGGCTTTTTGTAAACTTTCATACACTGTAGATCTACTTACAGTGTATCTTTTAGATTAACTTGATATTGTTCCTTGTACTTACAATTGCTTGTTTGAAATACATGTTTTCATTCATTCAATGTACTTAATTCGTGTCCACTTCACATTTAATGTTAGAGAACGTAACTTTTTTGTTCAATAAATAATCTGTGTTTTTATCCCAACAGAACAAGCCTTGTAAAAGCAGTCTGTGGGGAACAAACAGACCACAACATGCTGTATTCATCTTATTATTAAACATTTTATCTTATATGGGAGTCTGTGAGTCACTATTTGACTCTTTGGACTGGGAGCTGATTGGCTGAGTGAGGCTGGTCCTCTCTCTCTTTTTTTTTTTTTACTTTTCTGTCTGATAAAGCTAAGCTAAAACTGTTTTGAGAGCCAAGATCACATTTAGGATATTATTACATTGTGTTGAAATGTAGAATTGTTTTTTGTGTAATTTAATTGGTCTATCTATTCAGAGTGTTTATAGCACCAGTGTGATATTAGGTCGAATGGCTGTCAGTTATGTAAAAACACATGATCAACTGTATAAAATCCTTGCACAAAAGTTCTGCGTACCTGTGCTCTGTCCTTACAATGGCTCTGAGTAAAGTTTGCGTTTCCTCTGATCCTGCCTCAGCTGGACATCTGCTGTCTCTACAGATCTGCCCACATAGACCCACAGACCATTTACCGGCGAAAAAACCTGCCTAAGGAATCAAACACGGTCACACACGGCCATGATCAAAGCTCCACAGGTAAAGGACAAAGACACCATGCTACAAACCGCACCAAAATGCCACTGAAAAAGGACTGCTTTTATTTGGGAGAAAAACTGTTTCTCTGAGTGCTCTCAATTAGAATGAAAAGGAAAAAGATCCAGGCCTGGACGCACACAGAGATAGCCACTTAAGGCAAACTTTTGGACAAAGGCAGTGGAATTAGAAGGCTTATTTCAGCCCTGCTTTTGAAAGAGAAGAGTATGAACAATCATCGGCCTGTGTGCAAAGTAAGGGGGAATGGATTCGTACAAATAAATATATGTGACTACTGTCCAATCTCCATTAGTGGAAGTTATAATGTGTTTCTGATTCGAGGCAGAGAAAAAGTACATATCCCGCAGAGATCAAACACATATTCCTCTTTTGTCCAGGAACTTCCTTCCTTAATTTCTAACTTCACTTTTGAATATGACTATGGAAGTTTTCTGGTGGACATTCTGCCACCTGCTTTTCTCGTACAAATGTTATAACATGGTCAAGAATGATACACTGCTTTATGTCATTGTGAATCGTTCGGACTGTTCGGACAAAATTATTTTTCAGTTTTGCAATTAAGGGGAAGAAAATGGATGGATAATAATAGTAATAATAATAATAATAATAATAATGATAATAATAATAATAATGATGATGGTTTGCTGGACACTCAAAGATGTGGCATTGATATAAAATGGCACTCCATACAGTTGTGGTGAACTGTAGCCATACCTGCCCTGGGGCAGACTGACGGCACGGTGGCTGAGTGGATAGCACTCTCTCGCCTCTCAGCAAGAAGGTCCTGGGTTCGAATCCCGGTCGGACCAGGGCCTTTCTGAGTGGAGTTTGCATGTTCTCCCCGTGTCTGCGTAGGTTTCCTCCGGGTGCTCCGGTTTCCCCTACCACTAAAAATATGTACAATAGGTCTGGTATGTGCCTCCTGTACTGGCGACCCTGCTCCCAAAAAAAACAATTGTAAACCGCTTTGAGACTCCGATGTGCAGTGAAAAGGCGGTATATAAATAAAGATTACTTACTTACTTACTTACAGAAGCGAGACAACCAGTCTGTGCTATCAGCCCCTCCGACCATTCACGCACACACCAGATACTAGTGTGAATGAAGTGTGTTGCTTAAGGACACACACATGTTAAGAATATCTATGCAGTGTGCAGACAGAATTATGCAACACTTTCATGTTTGTTTTCACAGTTCATTCAAATTGTTTAAGAATAAATAGTACGACTTAACTTAACACAACATTGTTCAACTAAATCTAAGTTCAAAGTTTGTGCTGAAGTGCATCAAGCACAAAGAGCTTTCAGTTTAGTCCCCTTCTGCACTTACAAGCTTCACATACCTAAGACCAAGATTATTCTTAGAAAGAGATCATATAATACATTAAGTCATTCATCTTGTAATTTTGATTTATTTAGCACTTTCACTTTCAAATACATTCATACATAATTTGTGGATAAAGAGAATTTCATCAAATTGAGGAGATGTTATCTTTTTTTGGTGACATATTTGCAGATTATTCTTTTGATTTATTCATTAGTTGGACCTTTTTTATTGGAGTTTCCTCTGGGTGCTGCGGTTTCCCTTCCCACTGAAACCATGCACAATGGTCCCTAACAACACCCTCTTGGACTCCTGCTACAGCTCTCTGGGATCAGGACCCTGAAAAAGAGATTCTACAATCTCAGCAGCACCTATCAAAGGAAAAATGTACGACTAATATAATATATCCTCCTCCTATTTGAGTTCCATAGGCAGGTTCCATTTGTTGACACTATGCATAAGTATTTACATGCAACCTGAGAACAAGTCCTCATTGCTGTATCTTTAAAACTTTAAAACTACATGAATACATATACAGGGACAGTACCACCTTAAAAACTTAAAGCTTTATGGTTTGGACATATCTGATGACATCATGCCGAGTCCATACGCAGTGAACCGGGGTGTCTGCTCTTGTGCCCCTCAGACAGAGTTTGGTCTTCGGCTTGATTAACCACTTAGTTCAGTCTCTCAGACACAAGATTGCAGGGAAAAAACGAGTAATGAAGAGCTTTCAAATTTACATGGACAAGAGCTGCGGCAGGCGCCTTGATTTCAGCCCGTCTTTGCTGTTTGTTCTTCGTCGAGAGGTGTCTGCTATTTTAACGGTAACGCGCAAAAGTGTCCACCCAGCCTCCTCTGTATTGCTCCCTCATCAACCTAACTGCATTGAATAAACACAATCAGCATGCATGTGGAGTGGATCTGGCGCCCTTCTCTCTCAAACGGTCCCCGATGGCCTGTTCATCAGGGTTATTATGCAGATTACACTGTGCAAATGAATGCTTCTTTTACTTTAGCATTGAAATGTCATTGTTCAAGCCTGGTCCAAAACACGTTGTTTAGTGCTCACAGATGAAGTGTGGCTGTTGGATTATGGGACGAGTGGAGTAAAGAACAGGAATTAGGCAACATTCAAGCTACTCTCAAGCCGTGGATTTTGGTGAATATTTACTGTGCTACTGCATTATTCAACATGTTATTATGGCCCTGTGACCAACTGGCTGTTTCTCAGGGGCAATCATTCCAGTACTGTGGCCATAGCTGCATGTGAAAATCAGATTCATTAAGACCTTTGAAGCAAAGCGGGGCAGGGACCTGGTTAGTACTGTGATGGGAGACCTCTGGGAACATTAGGTGCCACAGTGGGGCAACTGCGGCTGTAAAGTACCACACTGTCGTTGAAGTGTCTTAGGTAAAAACAGTTTGTTTGCTCGTTTAAACAAGAAGGAGCTGTCTCGCCTGCAGTTAGTGCAAAACTAAAC